CCATGCACTGTCGGTTTGTGTATACAGCTATGGGATGAAACATAGACTGCGTCAAAAAAGTCTTCATACACATAACATTCAGGTAAAATCCTTTTATTCTTCTATTTCTGTACTTTAAAACCAAATTACACGAAAATTTATCGTTGCAACAATACAGGAATGTGTCGGAAAGTGTTGGATTCAGACGGAAAATGGCACATATCGTTGCCGAAATCCATTTTCAAAGGAACCCTACGTTACGCATCGCTGAATGCTATTAAAACTCATGATTGTGGACCGTCAGATGATCTGATGGGATGGATTTATTCTGTTGTATGAGTTTTTAATTCATTTTAGTAATTCATTTTTGATTCATTTTCATTTTGATTCATTTTAATAATTTCTAAGATCACGGACCTTTGGCGTTTTGTGAAACTACCCGGAGCATTTTTTCATTCATAGGCTGGCTCTCGGACTGTGTTCCGGCAAATCTTCAATTTGCAGTGACCAATGTTGCATCGCTTGGTGGTCAGGGCGTTGGCGGTACTGACATGAGTCTCGTTTGCTTAGTTTGGAGTTTTTAATATTAGGACTCAATTATCTCATATTTACCAGTAAGCATATTTTTAACCAGTTTATGCTTCATCCCTTAGCTGTAAACACGGAGAGTGTCATTTGTAAACTAAATTTTGCCAATGCAACTGAATTATTTTATGAAATATATTAAAAACAATCATGTTTTTTCGTTTTTACAGATCGAATTAGCGCTATCCAGGCTGCCCTGGGCGAAAAGTGCACCACGTGAAATGGTGAAGCTGAAAGCAAAGATCAGCGGGGAAGAACTGTGTGCACAAATGCCTCCACCATTTTTGCAATGCCATAATTATATTCAACGCTTGAAACCAACGGAAATGCCGCGACATGATTTCATCAACAGTTGTCTGAAGAGTTGCATACCGAGAGGAGTAAAGCCGGATGATCCCTACGATTGGGAAGTGACAGGAAACTGTTAACCCGCGCTCTTTCCATGTAGAACTAGGAAAGTTTTGATAAAAATTCGTACTCTGTTTATGAATTTCAATGAACAACTCAGGCCACAGAGCACCGGGCTTGTCGATGCGGTCATGGGTTTTTGCGCTAAACTTGAAGCAGTCAATTCGTTAGCTTTATGAATGGTTGCTTTATGCATTTAACTTGCGCATCCATCGCCATAAAATACCGTAAATCATGCATAAAAGACCCAGGCTGGAACGCA